TTGGAGAGGTCTGGCACGCCGTCCGCGATCTTGCTGAGATCCTTTAGCGCGTCGCCGGAGATGCACAGGGCGTGCCGCCAGAAGGTGCCATCCGTCGGGCGCCGCCCCGGCTTGCCGCGCACGATGGCCTTGGCGGCGTTGGCGCCGACGGATGCGCCGAGCGGCATCAGGTGGATGTTGAAGTCCTCCCCGAAGTAGATGGTCTGCCCGGAGGGGTAGTTGAGGCGTGGTGGGCAGAGGTCGAAGCGGACCACGATGTTCTGCGCCTTGCACTCCTTGACGCTGACGAGAGGCATGGCGAGTCCGGGCGCGTACAGCGCGTTCACCCACTCGGTGTTCACAACCTTGGTGTCCTGCGGCTTGGTCGGGTCAGCCAGCGCGAAGGCGTACGCGGTGCCGACGCCCTTCGCCTTGAGGTAGTCGTTGTTTGCGCAGCGGATGTAGATGGGCTTCTCGGGCTCGCGCCACCCGTGAGGGAAGTAGTCGGGCGTCGGGAACATGTTCATGCCCGCCTTGGAGTCGACGCCAGCGGCATACGATCCCGGCATGTTCACACCGGCGGTCGTGTCGTACGCGTCGACGACCTTGACATGCCCGACAAGCGCGTGTGCCTGCATCGCGTCCATGCGCGCCACGTACATGGCGAGCATGATGCACGTGTACGAGAGGACGAGCGGGACCGTCTTGGGCACGTCGATGTTATTCACCGCGCGGAACATGTCGCCCGCGACCTTGCGGTAGATCGGCTGGAGCGGGTCCTCCTCGATGGCGTACTCTGCTCCGCCACCTGAGCCAGTCGCCGGCCCGGTGGACAGCTCGAGGGGTAGTGCGGTGACGGACTCGACCATCACGCCCATGTTCGAGGGCTCGTCCACGGCGTCGGCCACAGGCGTGCCGATCGAGGCAGGCGAGCCCATGTAGACCGGGATGAGGCACGCGAGCAGGACGAGTAGGATGGAAGCGCCGATGTACGGGCGAGGCAGCGCGGTGACGAACGAGGTGAACTTGACCCACAGCCCGCCGCGCGCCCGTGCCTCCGCCGCGTTGCGCGCCGCCGTCTTGGCCTTGAGGATGGCGGGCGTGTCGGTGGGGTTGGAGTCGGGGAAGGTGTCCTCGACCTGGTCGGTGCCGACGCCAGCGACAAAGCCGCCGACGATGCCGTCCGGGTCGAAGGTGCGGGTGACAGAGTCGGCCAGCGCCGCCCGCACCTCCTCGTGGTCGGCCGCGGTGGAGTCCGACTTCTTGGCGAAGGGGTCGTGCGGGAGGGTGCGTCCGGGGGACTTGGTGCACACCTTCTTGTACGAGGACTGGGCCATGCGCACCTTCGCCTCGTGGTCGATGCGGTCGGGGAGTTCCTCGAGCACCTTGGCGACAGGGACCCCCTTGCAGATGAGGTCGCCGATGCACTTGCCACCGTGCAACCCGCCGCAGTGTGGGCACGGCTTGCGCCCGCCGGCTGCGCGGCCGCCGCGGTCCCCGCCGCCCTTGTCGGACTTGATCTGCGCCTGGAGGGCGGCGACCTGGGACTCGGCGGCCGCGAGCTTCTCCTTGAGCGCGCCTTGCGAGGCAACCTCCGCCTCGAACGCCGCCTGCGCAGCCGCCTTGGCCTCGTTGGCGCGGTCCGCGTTGTCTTGGTCGAGGATGCCCTGCATCGCGAGCGTGGACGCCTTGAGGCCGTACGTCTTGCCCGATTGCGCGGCGAGTTGGCGCTGCATGCCGATCTGCACGCGCATGTTTGCGCCGAGCGTGGCCCCCTTGGCGGCGATCGCGTCGAGGATGTATTCCTCGATCACCTCGTCGGGGAGGTGCCACTGGGAGCCCTTGAGGAACTTGTTCGCCAGCTCGATGCCCGTCTTGAACTTGGCGAGGCTCGCGGACGTGAGGTCCTTGAGAGCGTCGGGGGAGTACGCCTTCTCGAGATCCGCGCGCAGCGCCTTCGTGCGCACGTTCTTGGAGTTCGTGTCCTCCGACTCGATGAGCGACTTGATCGCCGCGATGCCCTTCTTGATGTCGTCGTAGTGGTCGGCGTCCTCGTCCGCCAACATCTCGGCCAGCGTGTCGTCGTCCTTGACGGCGTTCTGCAGCGCACCGTAGAGTTGGCGCGACAGAGTCACCGACAGGTCCTTGAAGAACTTGTCGATCATGGCCGGAATGAGGCCGTCCGCAGTGCCGATGTTCTTGTAGCGCACGTGCAGCGCGACCGCCTCGGCCTCGCGCTCCGCGCCCGGCCGGATGGTGCCCACCTCGATGATGTCGAGGAGGTACTTGTGTTGCTTCGCCGCGGTCCGCAGGTTGCGGAACCACTCGTTGAACTCCCGCTCGGAGCTCTGTTTGTAGGCCGGAATCACCAGCTTGTCCGTCGACGACATGTTGTCGTAATGTCCCGGGGATCGTTGCCCCGCCGCCACCAACTGTGAAGGTCTTCAGTGACCACTCACAAGCTGTTCCAAGGCCCGACAGAAATGTACTGTCAAAACTTTGTTCAAACAAAAGTCCTGGCCCGCGGCCCCCACACCCACAATGACTATCAATCCAGGCTGCGGGTGAAGGGCAAAACCGCGCCGCTGCAGAACGGTTTTTGCAAAACCGCGCCGCAGCGGTACGAAACTGCGCAGATGCAGTCCAGGGGTGGTAAGGACACTATGTGTGTGTGTGTGGCCGTAGACTCCAAGAACGCGCGCACGAAGGCGCTGCGCGCGGATCTCGAGAAGGCGTACTCCCCCGACGCTCTCAAGGACCTCACGTCCGCGAGCCTCGCCAAGTTCAAGACGGGCATCGAGCTGGTGAACAAGTTCCTCAAGGGCTCCCAGTGGCACCTCCCCGACGAGGTGATCGAGGAATACATCCTCGACGCGATCGGCGCCAAGGGGGCCATGCTCGGCGCAAACATGCGCGTGCAGATCGGCATGCAGCGCCAACTCGCCGCGCAATCGGGCAAGACGTACGGCCTCAAGGCGTCCACGCTCGCGATGCAGGGCATCCTCGACCAAGACAACGCGGACCGCGCCAACGAGGCCAAGGCGGCCGCGCAGGCGGCGTTCGAGGCGGAGATTGCCTCGCAAGGCGCGCTCAAGGAGGAGCTCGCGGCCGCCAAGTCCCAGGTCGCCGCTCTCCAGGCGCAGATCAAGTCCGACAAGGGCGGCGGGGACCGCGGCGGCCGCGTAGCCGCTGGGCGCAAGCCGTGCCCCCACTGCAATGGGTTGCACGGTGGCAAGTGCATCGGCGACCTCATCTGCAAGGGGGTCCCTGTCGCCAAGGTGCTCGAGGAACTCCCCGACCGCATCGACCACGAGGCGAAGGTGCGCATGGCCCAGTCCTCGTACAAGAAGGTGTGCGCCAAGTCCCCCGGCCGCACCCTCCCGCACGACCCCTTCGCCAAAAAGTCTGCGCGCCGCGTACATGGCGAGCATGATGCACGTGTACGAGAGGACAAGCGGGACCGTCTTGGGCACGTCGATGTTATTCACCGCGCGGAACATGTCGCCCGCGACCTTGCGGTAGATCGGCTGGAGCGGGTCCTCCTCGATGGCGTACTCTGCTCCGCCACCTGAGTCAATCGCCGGCCCGGTGGACAGACAGCTCGAGGGGTAGTGCGGTGACGGACTCGACCATCACGCCCATGTTCGAGGGCTCGTCCACTGTTGAAGACCGACGACCGCGCAGCCGTCTAGTCGACGGCCACACACACACACATAGTGTCCTTACCACTCAGGGACTGCATCTGCGCAGTTTCGTACCGCTGCGGCGCGGTTTTGCAAAAACCGTTCTGCAGCGGCGCGGTTTTGCCCTTCACCCGCAGCCTGGATTGATAGTCATTGTGGGTGTGGGGGCCGCGGGCCAGGACATTTGTTTGAACAAAGTTTTGACAGTACATTTCTGTCAGACCTTGGAACAGCTTGTGAGTGGTCACTGAAGACCTTCACAGTTGGTGGCGGCGGGGCAACGATCCCCGGGACATTACGACAACATGTCGTCGACGGACAAGCTGGTGATTCCGGCCTACAAACAGGGCTCCGAGCGGGAGTTCAACGAGTGGTTCCGCAACCTGCGGACCGCGGCGAAGCAACACAAGTACCTCCTCGACATCATCGAGGTGGGCACCATCCGGCCGGGCGCGGAGCGCGAGGCCGAGGCGGTCGCGCTGCACGTGCGCTACAAGAACGTCGGCAACGCGGACGGCCTCATCCCGGCCAAGATCGACAAGTTCTTCGAGGACCTGTCGGTGACTCTGTCGCGCCAACTCTACGGTGCGCTGCAGAACGCCGTCAAGGACGACGACACGCTGGCCGAGATGTTGGCGGACGAGGACGCCGACCACTACGACGACATCAAGAAGGGCATCGCGGCGATCAAGTCGTGTTGAAGACCGACGACCGCGCAGCCGTTTAGTCGACGGCCACACACACACACATAGTGTCCTTACCACTCAGGGACTGCATCTGCGCAGTTTCGTACCGCTGCGGCGCGGTTTTGCAAAAACCGTTCTGCAGCGGCGCGGTTTTGCCCTTCACCCGCAGCCTGGATTGATAGTCATTGTGGGTGTGGGGGCCGCGGGCCAGGACTTTTGTTTGAACAAAGTTTTGACAGTACATTTCTGTCAGGCTTTGGAACAGCTTGTGAGTGGTCACTGAAGACCTTCACAGTTGGTAGCGGCGGGGCAACGTGGCGCGCGACGCGCGCGCGTGCGCGTGCGCGCCCAGCCGAGCCCTAGGCCGTCTGCCGTCTGCCGTCTGCCGTCTGCCGTCTGCCGTCGGCCGTCGGCCGTCGGCCGTCGGCCGTCGGCCGTCGGCCGCCGCCGCCGCCGTAGCGGCGGCGAGCGCTCGCCTTTTGCGCGACGCGCAGTGTGGACGCGCGCCGCCCGCCGGACGTGCCGGAGCCGGTCCGGCGCGCGCGCGGGCGGCCAGCGCCTGTAAACAGACAGCTGCCGCCCACACGTTCAAAGGTTGTACTTCCCCCCCCACTTCAAGCCCAGTAGCCGCTATGTTTTCTTTATTTAGCTCATGGCGCTGAGCTACTACCTCATGGCGCTGCGGGCCCCCTACATGCACGAGCTCGTCACGCTCGCGTCTGCGGCATTACTGAGAGCGGCGCCGCTCCGCTGCCGAGTCATGAGCACATTCTCCACCGGCGGAGGGTCCTGCGCCGCGGCGAGCGCCGACGTCAGGCGGCTGGCCGACGGCACATGCTTCAATCGCAAACTCGGCGCACTCAACGTGTTCGAGATTGACGTCGACGAGTCGATCATCGACGAGGCGGCCGAAATCTTCTACGGCCGCGACGCGAGCAGCAGCAGCGACGGCGACGGCGACGGCGACGGCGACGGCGACCATAGCCCCTTTGCAGGCGTGGGCGACAGCGCAGAGCCGTACACTGAGGTCGCGACACCGGCCGGCAACTTTTTCACGCAGCGCGTCAGCGGCTGGAGAAGCAACATAGCGTGGGTCTCGGTCGACGACGAGCACTCCTTTCAGAGATTCGAGGCGCTCTTTGAGCGCCTCGAGCTGCCGCAGCGCTTCTCCTCTGTCATCCCACACTTGAGCTCGCCGCGCCTCTTCAGCGCCTTTTACGTCTGCCGCTCGTGGTGCGAGGCGCACAGCTTCCACACCGACTACATGCGCCCCGTCGGCCTGCACGCGCTCACCCTCATCACGCCGCTGCGCGACTATCAAGAGACGGACTCCTTCCAGCTGACCTACAAGCCGGCCGTCGCGAGCGGCGCGCCGCAATCCGACGGTTACGCAGCGCACGGCTCCGAGGATGCGACGGAGGGGCGGACGGCGCCTCCCGCGCTGCAGCGGTACGCGTACAAGAAGGGCAAGGCGATCGTCTTTGGCTCTCGCTTCGAGCACAGCACCGAGCCTGGCGCGGGCGACGAGGGTGAGGTGCACGCCTATCTCTGCTTCACCTTTGGCACGGACGACCAGTCCAAGTGGGCCGACATTGCGCAGACGCTCGACACGCAGTCGCGCATCGTCCAGCACCCTGATGGAGAGCTGAGGCTCTCCGCGCTGGGTAGAGCCATCGAGGCGGCGCTGCGCGACCTCCAGCGCGGCTCTGGCGGCGGGGGCGCAGAACATCTCTCTTCCGTGGACGCGCATGTCAAACGATAGTATCTCGGCAAAATTCTGGGGGTGCGTTTCCATTTTTATGTTAATTTATGTGTGACCACCACGATAAATCATCATGGATCTCTCACGACTACAACTGCGTCTCTCCGGTCCCGCGCGGCGCCACGGCCCCCCCCCGGGGGAACGCGCAAATCCGGTAATCCGCGGCGCATCTCGAGACGACGACGTCGACCCGGACCGGGCGCACGCGCGCCCGGGGGCCTCCAGCTCCACCTCGCCCCGCTCGCCCCAGGGGCGTCCCTCCAGACCTCCAGCGTGCAGTGTCTGCCCAGTGGACGCGAGAGACGTGTGGAGTTCGCATGCAGCACCGGAGGACAGAGCGATGAGAGTGTCCTTTTCGTAGAGTAATGTCTTAAGTATTATGTTTAGTATCGAGCTCGCAAGTCTCGTGTCTCTCGCCGGCGGGTGGGAGCCGGTAAGTGTGGCCGAGCAGATCAGACAGCACCGTGCGCCGCAGCACGCCCCGGTGCTTGAGGCCGGCGCCGAGCGCGTGGCCAGCGACGGCGTGCCTGACGACGCGCACCCGCTCTGAGGCCAGCAGGCAGGGTGGCAGGTAGTCGAGCTGGCGCAAGTCGGGCGGGTCCTGGCCGACGTGCAACACGATGCGCGCCTCTGCGCCGGCGCACGCGCTCACGAGGTCGGCCCGGAGGCGCTCCTTGCGCGCGTCGCCAAAGTCGTCGCGGCCCGAGTAGTCAAAATCGCGCACGTCAATCTGTGGGACAAGCGCGACGACGGCGCCATTGGCGCTGGCGTGCCGGGAGAAACGCAACGCGGCCGTCGCCCCCATCGACTCGCCCAGGATGCACACCCGGCCGTACGGCGCGCAGAGCGCACTCAGCGTCGCGTCCCACCACCGCCCGTCGTCGTACTCGCCGCTGTACGGGTCGGTCATGTACCACGACTGCGCAGTGTCGAGGCAGTGGGCGAGGACGAGGGTGTCGTCTCCCACCGCGCGCAGCGTCGCGGCGTACTCGGCACGCACCACGCCGTGCCAGCCGAGCGACGAAAAGACGAGCACCAATGTGCGCGCGGAGCTCGGCAGCGTGGGGATGCCCGAGATAGGCGAGTATGAGCTCAGGGCGCCCGCGCCGTCGGCCGTCGACGGCGCGGGCGCAGCGGCGGCGGCGGTGGCGCCAGCGCGCACGATGAGCGGCGCCGGCTCGTCGGCCGCGTGCCACACCGTGCCGAGCGCCGCCGCGCCGCGCTGCGAGCCGGCGTGTCGGCTCGCCGCGACGAGGCTGCGCAGTCCAAGCTTGGATGTCGGGAAGCCGAGTGGGCCGAGCAGCCCCGCGCTGAGCTCGCGGACGGCGACGGCATAGAGCGCACGGACGATGCGCTCGTCGTCGGCGGGCGGCGGCGCGACGGCGACAAAGTCCTGGCGCACGCGGCGCAACCGAGCGGCGGCAAAGACCTCTGCTGCGCGCTCGGACGAGGAGGCCGCCGCTGCCTCGCGACGCTGCTGCTTTGCGGTGGCGAGCGCGGCGCGGCGGGCAGCGAGGAAGGCATCGGAGGCGACGGCGGCAGCAAGCGCATCGAGCGCGGCATCGCGCTCAGCCGGCGGCAGCAGCACAAAGCGCGCCGTCGCGGCGACGGCGGCGGCCGCCTCGGCGGCGGCTGCCGCGTCCACCTCGGCAGCCGCGCGGGCGAGCGCCTCGATCGCGTCATCCCAGAGCGACGCGCTGAAGAGATGCTGACCGAGCGTGTCGCCATTCTCCCAGTCGAAGAAGGCAGCTGCCTCGGCGAGCTCACGCGCGTCGCGCGGCAGCGCGCTGCGGCGCTCGCCGGGAAGCGCCCAGCACACGGCGAGGCTTGCGTCGACCAGCGCTTCAGCCGGCGGCACATCGTCGACCAGCCGCTGCTCGAGGCGCCTCAGGGGTGCGACGGCCGGATGGGCGATGGCGGGCGGCGGCAGCGACACGCCGCAGGCAGAGGCGGCGAGTAGCAGCACGGTGGTCACGCTTCTTAGAGCGGGCAAGCTCATCGCATGCATGTTGAGGCCTGGCGAGTAGAGGCACACGCACGCTCTCTCGAGGTCTCTTGGCAGAGCCCCGGCGAGCCCTCCAATGGGTCCTCGGAGAGGGTACCCTGGGTGGGCGGGGCCTCTACTCGCCAGTGTTGAGGCTTTCGTACTAGGGTGCGAAAAAGAATTTTCCAGCTCTGTACCCGCGCCAGTCCCGTGCCCAGTGTTGTGCTAAAAAGAGTTCTAGAAATACATTTAACTGGCAGTGTCGTGTGCGAAAAAGAATTTTATAGAACTTCGCTGTTTGTTTTCATGGGCGAGGAAACTACAAACACAAAAACAACACAAAAAAAGTTCACTCGCGCGCGCCGCGCGAACAGGGCCCAAATGACGTGTGAGTGTTAGAGTTGTTTGGTATTGGCCTATTGCTAAATCTCTCTCTCAGGAAACTTGCCCTAGATTCACCTTCCTACCTAACCTAACCCTAGACGGCACCCGAACCCAGAGGCAGGCAGAGAGCGTGAGCAGGCGGACATCGCTTCCAGGGAGGGGGGCGCACTTCTGCTCACGCCCCACGCCCGCCTAGGATGTGGTGAAGGCGCTGGGGGGGGTCGGGACCCCCCCCCTAGCATGTGGTGAAGCCTCTGGGGGGGTCGGACCCCCCCCCCCTAGCATGTGGTGGGCACCCCCCAGCAGTTCGTGGGCTAGGAATAGCCGCCAGAGAGCCGATTTTGCCCCCAAAATTGTGAAATCGTGGCTGAAAGACCAATATCTTGGAGAATCTGACCAGTCTCAAGGCTCATGTAGCTCCAAAAGATGATTTTCCCCTCGAAAATGCTGCGAAATGAGGCGTAAAATCAAGGGCCCGGAGGGTCTGACCACGAGTCTCTGGTGGAGCAGGAATAGTACCATTTAGACGCCGCCGCCACAAATATGAAGATGATGGCGCCCGGCGCGAGCTTCCCGCATTTCTGATCTTGCGCGTATCCTTGCTTGATCGGCCTCCGCAGCAGCAGGTGGATCTGAGGGGGTGCGAGAATTAACATGAGAGCCGTGACTGCGTAATGGGAGAAAAGGGAGAGGGGGTTGTGTTCTCTAGGCCCCTAGGGGCCCTACGCGCGGCGTGAGAGCTCGGAAGCGAGCTTTGCACGGCGATCGAGGATGGATGGCGCGGTTCACCCCCTCCTCTCTCTCTCTCACGTCGTATCGATGTATGTCGTATGAGACGTACAGTGCGATGCAAGACGCAATGAGCAGCAGGCGAACAAGCAAATCTAAACCCGTCCGGGCCGTGGGACTTAGGCAGGACCGCACACTGTCCTCGGCGTCGCTCTTCATGAGGGCTCCCCCGGAACCGCTGCTCAGCTTTCTTCATTTCTTAAGGTGGCAGTCCGGGTTTTCGCGAGACGGGTGTCGTCCCGCACGATGGCATCACGCTCACACCTGCCGACCGCCGCCACGGCGGCGAGACGCCTTCTCCGCCACCGCAGCGCCGGCCACAGGCCAGCGCTAGGCAGCTACCGGCCACACCGGGCCGGATTTGCCGGTAACCGTCGCCGCACACTCCTACGTCCACGCCGCTGTGACGTCTGGCGACGAGGCGCCGGCCGCCAAGCTTCATCGCCAACGTGGTCGCTGGCTGGTCCTCTCGGCTCGGCCACGCGTCGGCCCAGCTCACACGAGCTCCAGACAGCCACCAGTCGCCGCGCGCAAAGCGTACGGGTCGCCGGCTCCCTGTTGTGCTCTCACGCTGGCCGGCGTAAAACTGTACTGGCAGTTGTCATGCCGTACCCGTCGCGTTTCGAAAGGGAGCCCTCAATCGACGCGTCTACACGCACCGCGCCACCGCTCTCCACAACTGCTACCGTGGACATCAAGCTCCTCGACTCGATCTGCGGCTACGACGGCGCTCTAGCTGCTGGCTCTCGCGAGTGTCTGGCGACCCACTCAGGCTTGCGAAACGGCCGCCCACGGCGACGTGTTTCGAGCTCGCTGGCCTTCTCCGCGCGGTTGGGCCCGCCCCTAGTCGGGGCCGACCCGCCCAGTCACTGGGCAGCGCGTGCGCCGTCATCCTGGACGACGGTGTGCCGATGCATCCGGGAGGCTCCGCGGGGCTGCTATAGCAGCCTCGGGAGGGTCGAAAATCGAAGCCGGAGCGGCGGACCACGGAAGCTCCACGGACGGTGAGGCGGGCTGTGGTTGGCCCCCCCTGACCGGGTGAGGGAGTGGCGCCCCGGGAGTGCCGCTCCGGCGACGTCTGTGGCCTCCAAGGTACCGTGACCGCGGTGCTCGCTCTCGCGGCCGTCTCACGACCCGCTCGAGACGAAAACTGGAGCGGACGGTGCGACGAACCGCGAGTGGGATGGTCTTCTCCGCCCGGCTGGGGCCGCCCCTAGTCGGGGCCGATCCGCCCAGTCACTGGGCAGTGCGTGCGCCGGCGTTCTGGACGACGGTGTGCTGGTGCATCCGGGAGGCTCCGCGGGGCTGCTCTAGCAGCCTCGGGAGGGTCGAAAATCGAAGCCGAAGCGGCGGACCACGGAAGCTCCACGGACGGTGAGGCGGGCTGTGGTTGGCCCCCCCTGACCGGGTGAGGGAGTGGCGCCCCGGGAGTGCCGCTCCGGCGACGTCTGTGGCCTCCACGGTACCGTGACCGCGCCGGCCTCGCTCGGGAGGCTCTTTCGGAGCCGTCGGCCTCCGAAACCGTCGCGTTGCTGCGCCTGGACGGCTTCGATGCTCGCCAAACCCGTCGGCACCGTTCATATACACATGAATTGTGAGTGAACGCGCATTTTTTGGCGATTTCATTCGCATATGCCGAAATGTTAGTTTCGATCTAGTCCTCACGGACACAAAACAGAGGCCTCCTAGCACGGAGAAGCGACTAAGAGTCGCCGACGTGCGAATGAAATCGCCGAAAAATACGCCCGGAATCACAATTGATCCCGTCGACAAGGCGCCCCAATCGCGGAGGTCTGGCGCGGGCGTGGAGGCGAGCATCGACGCCTCGACGGTTGCTCTTCAGAGGCCGTAAACAGGCGCCTGAAAAAGGAGAGAACGCGAGACTGATCACGCGCGCGGAAAAGCCCGAGGGGCGAATCTAAAGTGCCGAGGCGCTTGCTGATCACCCCAGCTAGGGCCACGGAGGCGCTCGCGGCAGGTCTCCGCGCGCGCGCTGGCCGGTGGCAGCTGATCTCGGGCGGCGGGCGGCGGGAATGGGCTCGGGCGGCACCTTTTGCCCTCAAAAGTCGTTCGAGAGTACCGGGTCGCGGCGGGAACGCGCCCATCCGCTCGATGGGTGTCAGGAGTCGATCGCCTGCGCCAGGAGCGAGCACGGGAGTCGTCGCGATGGGAGTCGTAGCGGCGTGGCGCTCGGCTTCGAGAGAGCGACGTGGGCGCGGCGGCGCGGGCGGCCGGTGGGGCGCGTGAGGTCCGCACCTTCGCGACGGGCAGGCTCGATACGGCCGCTGGCCGGGGCGGCCGCTCGACCGGCCGCCGCGGTCGTTCCGGCGGCGGCGTCGGCGTCGGCGTCGCGAGCGAACTGGCTCGCATTCGACGAGCGACCCTCTTCACAGAACCCGGACTGCCACCCCAAGAATTCTTCATTTCTCGGCGGCGAAAATGTCTACTCCGCTGCTCGTCGGCACGTACGGCGAGAAGCTGGGGCACGTGGACGGCAAGGGCAAGGGCGTGTACGCCGTGCGCTTTGACCGCGAGACACTGAGCCTCGTGCCGTTCACGCCGACGGCTGGGCTCACGACGCCACAGCTCGGCGGCGCCTCCGGCCTTGTCAACCCGACGTGGCTCACCTCCTGCGGCGACGGAAAAGTCCTCTACATTTGCGACGAGCGTGGCGACGGTCCGGGCAATTTGGCGGCCGTCAGCGTCGATGCGGCGACTGGCGCGCTCGCGCTCCTCAACAGCATCCCGGCGGACGACCGCGCTGGCGGCGCGGCGTGCTGCCACGCGAGCGTCACTCCTGGCGGAGCGCACGTCGTCGCATCCAACTACTGCGCCGGTTCGGTCGTCGCTGTCGCGCGCCGCGCGGACGGCTCGCTCGACGCGCCGTCGGCGCAGTACGTGCACCTGCCGCCCGCCAGCCACCCGGTCAGCTTTCCCGGCCCGAACGCGGCGCGCCAAGAGGCGAGCCACGCGCACATGGCGTATTGTTCGGCCGGTACGCACGGCACGACCATCCTGGTGCCCGACCTCGGGTGCGACGTCGTGTGGTCGATCCCGTACGACGCGGAGAGCGCCAAGCCGCTCGGCGAGCCTGTCGCGACGGCGTCTCCGCCCGAGCTGCGCGGCGGCGGCCCACGCCACCTCGTTCGCCACCCGACCGAGCCACTCGTGTACGTGGGGTATGAGCTGACGTCGGTGCTCGCCGCGTACCCGATCGACAAGAGGACGGGCGCCATCGCGGGCGACGAGCCGCTCTGCGCGCTCAACGTGCTCGACGGCGACGCGGGCGGCTTCATGGGAGGCTCCGGCGAGGACGCCGACCTCAGCAGCGTCGAGGCGTACCAAACGACGGTCCGAAAGTACGCGCGCCTCCTGCAGGGGTCCGCGGCGGCCGCCACCGCCGCGTGGCACGGCGGCGAGCACCGGGGCGGCGTGCCGCTCTGCTCGGACAAGGCGACGAGCATCGCGGCCGTCCGCCTCGCGCCGGGCGACGCGCCCTCGCACGTGGTCGTGTCGTCGCGCCTCGTCGACGCCGCTGGCGCGCTCTCGTGCGTGGCGCTCACGCCCGGCGGCCTCTTCAAGAGTGCCGAGGACGAGCCCGTGCGCATCACGAGCACCCTCGGCCGCACGCCGCGCGACTTTGTGCTCCTGCCGCCGCCGAGCAGCGCGGGGGGGCGCGGCCGGAAGCGCGGCCGGGCCGCCGGCGCCGCCGAGCCGCCGGGCGGCGCGAGCGACGACGGTGTGGTGGCGCTGGTGGCGAACCAGGACTCGGGCTCGATTGTGGTGCTGCGCGAGGGCAGGGAGGCCACGCCGCTCACGAACGGCGACGCCATCCCCACGCCCGTGTGCTTGTGCCTGCCGACCTGCCGTGAAGTTTCCCCATAGTAATTCCTCTCGTCGGCTTCTTTTAATCCAAGCACCCAGCTCACGGGGATGGTGTATACATATAATCATTCTGGAGGAGACAGCCTCATTTTCTCGTCGCTCGTCCGAAAGGCGAATTCTTTTCGAAGCCGCAAAAACAAAACACGCGCCATTCGCTCTCACCTGGCAACCCTGTCTGCACGTCTCGCGCGCGCGTGAACAGGGCTCCAGGCCCCAAATGACGTGTGAGTGTTAGAGTTGTTTGGGAGAGAGAGAGATTTTTAGCAATAGCCTATAAGGAATAGCCAATACCAAACAACTCTAAAAATCTCTCGAAGCCTGACGAAGGTGTACACACCTGTGTTGTGCCAGTGCGCGCCAGTCCCGTGCCCAGTGTCGTGCGAGGGAGTTTTGTTGTAAAATTCGTCCTCGCAGGAGTCGCTTAGGCGGCTCCCGTGGTGTAGCTGCAGTCCTAATGACAATTTTTTTTGAGAGCGCCTTCGTTGTTAATATATAATTTTTTTCCCTCTGTACTCCTTGCGACGCCCCCCAAGGGCTCTCTCTCCTTGCTTATTCCGATGGCGCCAGTAGCGGGTTTTGAAGCGATCTCCGACGCCGAGTGGCAGCGCTTTCTCGACGCGCGCGACGGCAGCGTCGCCGACGCGTCGGAGATGCTCCGCGAGCACCTCGCGTGGCGCGCGGCGACCCTGCCGCTGCCGGCCGGCACGCCGGCGCTGGGCGCGGGCCTGCCGGACCTGCTGGTATTTGACGGCAAGGCGCGGTCAGGTCACCGCGTCGCGGTGCTCATGGCTGCGATGTACGACCCGGACCTCGCCGACGTGGATACCTATGCCAACGCCATCGCCGCCAAGCTCGATGCGTCGCTCGACCGCGACGTCGCCGAGCGGGTCACCATCATTGCGGACACGCGCGGCGGCGACGGGTGGGCGAACCCGCCGGCGACCTCGGTCGTGCCCTTTATGCGCGCCGTCTCGGCCACGCTCTCGGCCAACTTCCCCGAGCGGCTCCACTGCCTGGTCGTGATGCCGGTGCCGTGGATCGCCTCGACGCTGTGGACCGTCGTCAAGCAGTTCCTCGACCCGGAGACGGCGCGCAAGGTGGTGCTTCTCGACGGGGCGGCGGACCGCGCGGCGCCGTTGCCCGACTCCCTCGGCGAGTACCTCGACCAGGACTGCACTCGCCTGCTCACAGAGCACCGCAGCCGCGCGATCGAGGCGTCTCAGCCCAAGGCGTCGTGAGCCGCGCCCGCGACTGTGACCTCAGACCCTCAGACCGAACCTTGTGTGGCGCCGGCGCGATAGCAGAGCGGGGTTCTCGCGAGCGCTTCTCACTCTGACCTCTCGTTCGATGATGTGGGTTTGGAGAATATATCCCCGCCCCGGGCGCGCGCGAGACGTGCGCACTTCCGGCACTGGCTTTCTCTGGCCTCTCCTCTCCCTGCTATACCAGTCCGTCTTTTGATTGTTTCCGTATTGGACGCTGGAATAAAGAAAATCGGGTGGCTCGTCGCCCGTGGAGCGTGGTCCAACCCTATTCACACGGGCGCCGGCGCTTGGAGTTTCCCTGTGTTAGTGCCAGTACGCGCCAGTCCGGTTCCCACTTAATTTTTCTTTTATTTTCGCTGTACCTTCTCTCACCCTCCTTCCCCGCGCGATCGCCGCCGCGCTCAGCACCGCCGAGGCTAGGAGTGGGGCGGCTGCGGGTGTCGCGGATATCGATGAGAGAAGCGCTGGAGACGCTCGTGCTGAACCCGGCCTCGGCCCTCACGGCGGCGGTCGCGTATGGCATGATGCTGCGCTCGGGCGCAACCTTCGGCAGCCTGCTCAACCCTTGGGGGCTGAGCCTTCCGCTGTGGGTCGCGGGGTATCTGGCAGTTCGCATGGCGCTGCTCGGCTTCGTGGACGGTTTCGTGTGGGCGCTCGCGCCGCGGCTTCCGGCGCTGCCATCCCGCGTCGGACCCAAGCCGGTCTTCCAGCACAAGATCAACGCCACCGACGTGGCGTACCTCGTCGTCAACTCGACGGTGGAGTACGTATTTGCGCTCCAGATCTCGCACCTGCTGTGGTTCGCGCCGCTCGTCGTGAGAGCGCCCACCAGCCTCTCGCTGCTCAACGGGCCACTCGCGTTTTGGCGCGCGCCCCTAGACTGCCGCAAGACTAGATGGAGCGCGAACCGCCTCGGCCCGGCCCGCGAGGGAGCGTTTGCCGGCGTCGAGTCCCGACCGCTGTTCCGTCGGCGCAGGATGCTGCTCGTGGTCGACGACATGCTCTACGCGCCGCTGCACCGCGCCATGCACTTGCAGGCGGTGTATCGCTGGGTGCACAAGCACCACCACCGCAACACGTTTCCAGCGCGCGGCTACATCGACGCCGCCAACGAGCACCCGGTGCGGCGGCCGCTCGCCAAGCAGACCCCTCCTCCCAGAGAGCCCCTAATCCTCGCCCCCCCCCCCCCCCCACACCCTCGGCTCCCACCTTGGTCCAGGTCGAGCAGATCGCCGCGCTCTGCCTGCACTGGGTTGCTGTCCATGTGGTGCGCCCCCCCCCCCCACACACACACTCACACTCACACTCACACACCACCCCTACCCCCCTTCTCCTCCAACCCACCGACCCGCCGCCGCCGCCGGCCGATCAGCCTCTTCACCGCGGCCCGCCCCTCGCAGGTTGCGCACACGGCGGGGCTGCACGTCGCGGCCGTGCTCGCCCACTTCGGAGTCAAGGCCCTCGGCGCCTGCTTCAACCACACCGGGTACGACGTGCAGCTGCGCTTCTGTGGCATCGAGTACTCCGTGCGCGCGCACGAGACGCACCACCGCAAGCCAAACACCAACTTTGCGCAGTACGTCATGTTTTGGGACAAGCTGATGGGCACGTACAAGGAGTACGAGTCGGGGGTCAAGGCCTCCGCAGCTGCCGCCGCCACGCCCGCCAACCTGTCCAAGCCGGACGCGGCGCGGCTTCCGGCGTGGGCCGACCCCGCTGTCGAGGCGCGAGAAGGGCGCGTGACAGAGCGACCCCAGCCCCGCGCCGGGTAGGCCTAGACCCATGGTGACCGCGTCCCGCCCAGCCCCTACCCACGTACCGAGTCGCTGCCGTCGCGTCTCTGACTGAGGCGTAGCATGGATAGAAGAGGCGCTGCTTTTATTTGTGAGACGAGAAGAAGAAGAAGAAAAACTTGTTCCAGTCTTAGCAAGCAAAAAGGAGCGCACACACGACTCAGCACGTCTGACGTCTGGGACCTACCGCGGGCACATCGACCCATGGTGCGCGTAGCTATGACAGGGACCGCGGCCGCGGAGCCGGCGGCGGACGGGGCTGGCGCGCAAGCGCCGGCCACCGTCGGGCCGCCGGGAACGAATCGCTACGATCGCGCGCACATGGAAGACTGCCTCATTGGACATTGCCGCAAGGCTCGCAGGTGTGTCGCAGCTCAGGTATGAGTGCCCTGGCTACGCGGCTCGTCGCCAAGGAGTTAGTTTTTTAGAAGAAGAAGAAAACACGTGCGATTACTAAACAAGTGACAAAACGACGCAAGGTCAACGTCAAGGATGAAGGAACCATTGGTGGAATGGTTGGGTAGTAGGGGTAGAGGGTTGCCCATGATTTAGACCTGCTCGCAGGCGAGCGCTGAACTAAGCCCCCGGAAGGAGACAGGCTCAAACTTAGACGCTGGTGATCGGACTCACGAACTTAGACGACACCCGAGGCGGCCAGTTCCGGGTCTCTGCAGCCCCCGCACAGCCACGGAGCCCAGCCAGGCCGCCCGGTCCGGCCCGCGGTCTGCTAAATAAAAAGTGTAAACCCTGGATAAATTGTGCACGACCCCATGGGTCAAATAGGTAGCGCCGTCGCCACTTGCCGCGCACGCCCTCCTCTCAGCCTCCGTGCGCAAGTCCCAAGTGGCGACGCACGCGCCACTTGAACTTGTACACAACGGCTGCCCGCCGCAGAGGCGAAGAAAATTTGAGGCAGCCCTAATGATCACGCGGCCGACTTAGCCCGCATAAGAGGCTCTCGCCGATCTTAGACCGCGTAAGCACCCCAGCGTGACCGGTCACGCTTAGACCTGTTAAGCCTCGAGGCTCAGAACTTAGCCTAGTACCCAACCACGCATCTCTGGGGGGGCGCGGGGGCCCCCGGAGGCACCGTGCGCCGTGCCGCAGTGCGGAGAAACGGGGCCCCGGCTCTACTTGTCTCTACTAGCACCGAACTTCCCGATTAAGCTTTAGTCAGAGGGCAGATTTGGAGAGATCTCGAGGAGTACATACAAATAGACCCTCCAATCATCAGAAAACTCCAACCTGATCGGTCGTACTGACCGCCGACAGATCACTCCAAACAGCAGACAGGCCGACGTCTGCACGCGGCCGGCCGGGCGAGAGGCTTGACACGATCCGACCCTGCGACCCTGACGCTGCTGCTCTAGCTATCAGACATGCACTGCTGACTGCTGCCACAATGTGCGACCTGTGCTGGCCCACTTGGCGGCCTTCCCGGTCAGTGGTGAGGCGCAGTTCAGAGCTGTCGATGGCGCGTCCGGGCTGTTAGCCGACTCGAAGCCTGGTGCGACACAGTTGCCGTTTATGGTCGGAGAGGCCTCTTTGTTGTCTGCATGGGGCCAGATGTGCTCGATCGTCGAGCGCGAGGGCACCAACTTGGCTGGCGTGTGGCTCGTCGGACTCTGCAATCGGGCCCCAATGGTACGCTTGCGCGCCTTCGAGAGCCGCACGCTCAAGGCATCGGCAGCACCCGTGCCCTCGCGCGAGCAGCACCTGTACGCAACGCAGTGGGAGGTGCAACAGTGGCCAACTCTCGGACGCGATACTCCCGAGAGCTTGCGCTTGCCATCTCTCGTATTGGGAGCGCGCGGGGTCACGGGAAAGTACAAGCGCGGATCTGGCTCAGCGTCCCACGTGCTAAACAACCTCACCCTTTCTCTCCCACTCGCTGGCGCTGCTTGGGGGATGTGTGTTTTGGGCCTTGTCGATGTCTCCTTGACGGTCGTCAAGCAACAACTCCAAGCGTCGCCCCTGCCAGCTATGATCCTCACGGCTGGAACTCAGAACGCGACGACCCGCGGCGCTGCACGACCCGCCCATGGCGGGCTGCTGGGTCTATTGCGCACCGTCCATTCAGAGCAGCCGGCGGCCTTGCTTTCTTGCCTCGACCTTCGTGCTGCCTGTCTCTCATCAGAGCAGGCGTTGCTACTTGCCTCCCGAGTTCGGCTTCTTTGCGAGCAGTTGGAGCTCGAAACTGTGCTGGACGGCGAGGTGATTCGTATCCCTCGTCTTGTAAAAGCCGCCCTGTCGACCGGTGGCCCAATCAGGTTGCACTTTGACGCTCGCGGCGCGGTCAGCAACCTCCGCATCGTGCCCCAGGAAGAGAGCCCGACCCTGGGAAACCTGCAGGTAGAGCTCCAGGTGCTAGCGGTTGGACTCAACTTTCGCGACGTGCTCAACGTGCTTGGCGCCTATCCTGGGGACCCTGGCCCCCCAGGGTCTGACTGCGCGGCACTGGTTGTTCGTCTCGGCAGCTTGTTCAAACACATTGGGATGGGTGATGCTGTTTTGGGTGTCGCCGACGGGCCGTTTCACGCGCTCACGCCCGCCTATGTTGGCCAAGATAGGCGGCTGCAAGTGTGGGCGCGAGTACCGCTATACGCGTCTGCACGTGTGGCCGCGTATCTTGGCTAAGATACGCGCCGGCACAGAATGACACGTATCAGGCCCCGCCGAGCTCGATGCGCGGCAGCGGGTGAGGGCGGCTATTCTCCCCCGAGGCAGGCGAGGATACGCAGTCCCTCGTGTCGCGCGTGTAAGTCCCGGTTGCCGTGCGCGCCAGCGCGTGTGGCCGTGTACCTTAGCTAAGATACGCGCGCACGGGCGTGGGTGGGTAAAAACGGGTCACTTTGCGGGGTTTGCCAACACCTCTCCGACGCGCTCGATCGACTACGACCGGCCGAAATCATATACCAGTAGCGGATTCGCCGATCGGATCAAATTGCGATGTCTCCCTCTATCTCCCTCTATCGATCTCCCCGTATCTCCCCGTATCTCCTCGCATCTCCAAGTATCTCCCCGTATCCCCCCGTCATATCCCGCCATATCCCACCATATGCATATCCCGCCGCGGATACCGCGAAAAGTTTCGGCCAGACCAGGGATACGACACACTGGGCACCCGCGCACCCCCCGAGAGAATCGGCGCGCGCGCGCACTGGCACGGTCCCTCTCGGGTGTAAATAAATAAAACCCTCTACTGTGAGATGGGTAAAAAGGAACAGCAACAGGTCCCCGCCCGTGCGATCTTTGTGCAGGGTTCTTTGTCAAAGTAACGCGACTTATTTGTGGGGGTGCGGGTGGACGGTGGTGGTCGGCCTGTGGTCGGCGACTAGCCGGGGTCGTCCTCCCGATCGGGGGGACTAGCACTAGCCGTCTTCCACATGGTCCCTCGGGTCCCTGCTGCTCTTAATCTCTTCGTACACATCCTCCCCTGGCCCTGCTGATCCGTGATCTCCGCAACCGTCCTGCTCCACCACTGGCACCAGCACCTTCCCTCTCCGCTCTCGTCTCGCCCTGTGGCCCCCCTCTGCGCGTCGGATGTGCAGGTTGACCAAACTGTCGGACAGACTCCCGACGATCCTCCCTGTGCTCGAAGAGAGATCTTTGCACTTTTTTCGGTATTCAGACACAATCACAAAATCACAGCCCGTGTTACTTGGCGTGCCGGTGGGAGGCCTTTTCGGATTTCGCGCTCCGGCCACTGCCACCCACTCTGGTCTAGCGTCACGAGATGACATCGGTGTGGCCCGCCCCCGCGTCGACGGTGACCAGCGAGTCGGTGTCCGTCTCGTTGGTGTCCGTCTCGTTGGTGTCCGTCTCGTTGGTGGTTGCGAGGGTCGCCTCGGCCGTCTCGGTCATGGCGGTCACAGCTTCGGGGTTGGCCGGAGGAGCGATGAGGGCGGCGAGCTTTTCGAGAGCCGCCCGCGACGACGCGGTGTTCTTGGAGAGGCGTGCCGCGCCGAGGGTGACGTCGGAGAGGAGGGAGCGCGCCTGCACGGCCAGCGAGAGCGCGCGCTCGATGGTCGTGGAGAGGTCGGGCGCCGAGGGCGTCTCGAAACCCGAGGGTTGCGAGAGCGAGGAGATGAGGAGCTCGACCGAGGACTGGAGGTCGGAGGAGAGTGCCGTGGCCTTGACGCGCACCTTCTCAAGGCCCTGCTCGGCCGCGTCCTTGGCAAGCGCGGGCAGGCTCTCGGTGACGAGCTGGCGCGTGTCCTCGGCAAACGCGTCGGACTGGATGTACTCGCGGTACTCGGCCACCTTGTCGTACTGAAGCAGGGAGATGGCGGTCGCCTTGAGCGCAGCCGCTGTCTCGGTCGGATGCTCGCGCGCCTCCTGGAGCGCCTCAAGAGCGCGGCACAGCCGCTTGTCGGCGAGAATCGCCTCCTTCTTCTCGACGAGTGACGCCTTCTTGTCGGCCACCTTGGTCAGGAACGGCGCGGCGCGGGCCTTGGCGGGCGCGAAGATCTTCTCCGCCGCCATCTCCTTGACGGGCGCGATGAGCTTCTCGGTCGCGAGGTCCTTTCCCTCAGCGATCAGCTCCGAGCGCCCCTCGGCGCTGCGGGCAAGCACCACCCGCGCGGCCACGGCCTCCTTGGCGTCTGCGACGAGCGGCGCATAGTCGTGGTACTTCTCGGATAGGGTTGGGTAGTAGAGCGCAGCCTCCTTGATCAGGTCAGCCGTCTCACCGTAAGAGACCAGGCCAGTGAGCGCCGAGCGCTGAGACTCGGAGAGGAAGGCGTCGGCGCCCGCTGCCGAGAGCGTGCTCTGGACGAGGTCGGCGCGGAGTTCGCCGTCGGTGTAGGCGGCGATGAGCTGCTCCTTGGTGGGCATGCTCTCGTAGATGCTGCCGAGGCGCTCCTTCGTGGGGAGTGAGTTCAACATAGCCATTGAGTCTAGATGCGCTCGATACCGTCGGTCGTGCGTCCTCCTTGAGCGAACAGGAGGACGCGTTCTCGAGGTTCTCGAGGTGGATATCCTTTGGCCGCGTTGGGTAGCGAGGATTGGTGTAACCCGAGCCACGGAGGCGTGTTTTCTGACGGCCGACCGTCAGTGCACGGAGTTGCCCCTTCTCCGACTGCCCCGGCTAGTTCCCGAGGTCGTCGGGTGTGACCCCTTCGTCCCCCGAGACCTAGCGCGGGTGGGTTGGAGGGGCCTCGGAAAGGCGCGCAAGCACGCCCTACGTCTTCCCCTCCTCCCCATCGGGCCGCATGAGCGGCCACGCCTCGCAGATTCGTTTCCGCGCCTGGGTCAGGCGCGCGGGGCATCCCCCGGGTCGCTCGACCAGCGATCCGAAGAGTGGCCGCTATGCGAAGGAAAGAGTGGGGCCCTCGACGCCTCAGTCCGGCCCTCCGAGGGGGGGAGGGTGTCTCCGCTCCGCTTTCTTCTACTGCCGGAGCCGTTGGTGAGCACCAGACGGCAAATAGACCGACTCGTCCGCATGTGGGCTGTGGCCTGTTCGCTGGTGCCATCGATCTCCAATGCACGGAGAATTTTACCGATTGTGCCGCGTCCCGTGCCCCCGAGTTCATTTTACAAGGGACGGCGAGAAGAATTTTACCGTTTCGCAGGACACTGGGCACGGGACTGGCGCGCACTGGCACTAACACAGGTACACCACGGGAGCCGCCTAAGCGACTCCCGCGAGGACGGCGAGGCACTTAGCTCCGTCCGTCCGTCCGTGGATAGGTAGGGTGTGTGTTTGTTGCCACTGGCTGGCCCCTCCCTCCCACCCAGATAGGTAGGTAGGTTGGTCTGGGGTCCCGTACCATGCGGAATCGACCCTATCCAGTGCTCAAGTGCTCAAGGTTGGTCTTGTTTGGCCCAAAAGGGCCCTGCAATAGGTAGGGACCCCCTATTTTCGCCTTTTCATCTTTTTTCGCTTCTGGGGATAGGTAGGTAGGTAGGGCGTTTTGGCGCGAGTCAGTGTCAACAGACCCCCTACCTATCCGGGTAGGAGCCGGGGAACCCGGTACCTAGGTACATCACCAACCTACAGTTGTATCGGATACAGCCAACCTCGGTCATAGTTACAACAAACAACCCGACGTGTGGACGCGTGCAACATTGGCAGGGGCGGCAGGCGCTATTCTGGCGATGTCAAGGTCGTCTGCCCCCTCAGCAGCAGCGGGGAGCATGGTCGGAAGGGTGCTGTTGTCGCTTTCGGCAAGGCGTTCTACCGGAACATGGTCGTGGGGCATGGGCCCTGCTGCGAGGAGGGAGAGGGAGGGCGGGAGGGAGAGGGGGGGACAGAGGAGTGTGAGGGGTACGGGGGCGAGGGCATGGAGGGGGAGAGGAAGAGCAAGGGCGAGAGGGGGCAGGGGACGGGTCGCTGGCATATTGGGGGGAGAGGGTGGTGGGCGGCGACCGCCGCATACCGTCCTATGGCGGCGAGTATCGCTACGCCAGGGAGGACAAGGACGTCGACGTGCAGCTGCTGCTGTTCGAGTCGTTCGGCGGGTTCGGGAAGGGGGTCGGCGAGATCCCCTGGAAGGCGGCGGACGTGCTGCAGAACAAGCTGACGCGGGCCCAGTACCTCGATGAGGCGACTTGGACCACCAAGAGCTGGCTGGGGCTGCAGAGCAGCGTATCTCAGTCGTTCTTCACACGGCCATCGCATCGCAGAGCAGATTGTGAATGAGCTTGCCTGCGGCGAGGGCGGTCGAGTGCACGGAGCTAAGTGCCTCGCCGTCCTCGCAGGAGTCGCTTAGGCGGCTCCCGTGGTGCGTGGTGTACCTGAACCTGTGTTAGTGCCAGTGCGCGCCAGTCCCGTGCCTAGTGTCGTGCGAGGGAGTTTCCTTATGAAATTCTTTCGCTGTGTTAGTGCCAGTGCGCGCCAGTCCCGTGCCCAGTGTCGTGCGAGGCGCTCACGAATTCTTTTCGGTCAACAGCCGCAACCGACGATATAATATATATATATGTGGCAAAACGCCCTCGCCACTGCTGGCTGGGTGCTCGCCGCCTTGCTGCTTGCGCGGCTCAAGCGATCGCAGCCGCTCACACGCATCGGCGTCAGCGCCAAGCTCCCGTTTGCGCACGCTGTGGTAGCCGGCGACGTGGTGTACCTCTCCGGCGTGACGGCGCAGGCAGACGGCGATCCCATCAGAGAGAGCGACAGCGTGGAGCAGCAGACGCGCAGGGTACTGCGCGTGATCGACGAGCGGCTGAGCCGCGCCGGCACCGACAACTCTCGGGTGGTGCAGGCGCAGGTCTGGCTCAAGGACATAGGTCGCGACTTTGCTGGCATGAATGCAGCGTGGAACGAGTGGGTCGGAGATGATGATAAGCCCACGCGGGCGACGGTCGAGGCTGCGCTGGCCAAGCCAGCCATGCTCGTGGAGATACAGGTCACCGCGGTGCTATGAGTGTGCACAGATTGTCCAACCAGAGAGCGCCGCGGCGAAAGCCCGCACCACACGCACACAGCAGCTGCAAGCCCCAGGTTGTCCCCAATCCCAGGCAACTTCTCCTCCGTAGCTCCGTTGCGGCATGGTACTTGAAGAAGAGAAACTCGCTGTGGTCTCTCCGCAAGGCCTCCCCGACACATGACGCGGGCTCTACCCTCGGCTGACGGGACAGGGCCCCAGCATCGGCTGGGGCCAGGGCCAAAGCTGCCGATGCCCAAATCACTGTGAGTCGTGATTGGGGGCTTTCGCTGTAATAGTAGAGCCGAATCGCGTTATGAAAGGTAGCTTTTTTTGTTTTTATCGTCCGTCCTGCTCGCCTTTGGCTGCAAGGCGCTCTCCATGTCGGCGCCGCCGGACTGGGAGCCGTGCTCCCTCGGCCGGAATGGAGAAGGCAACGCCGACACTTTCCTCAAGCGCAACCATGGCTACGGCTACAACGACATGATTGCGCTTCCGACACTCACCAAGGACTCTCTGCTCGAGAACCTGGCTCGGCGGTACAAGTACGAGGTGGTGTACACCTATGTGGGTGACATCGTCGTCTCCGTCAACCCCTTCAAGAACGTCGGCAACACCGGCAAGGCCATCCGCAACAAGTACAAGGGCGGCTCTCGCACGGCGCTGCCTCCGCACATCTATGCACGTGCGCCATAGACGGGGTCAGAGCGGCGGAACCCGCTGCAAATCTGGCGCACACACCCGTCGAGGGCTCGGCATCCAGCAGCGCCGCTGCGCGATGGGGCGCGCATGGCTGCCTCGGAACCGGCCCGTGACCCAGCCCCGCCGCGTGGCTGCAGGCGCTGGTGGACCACGCCTACAACGAGATGGTGCGGAACGAAAAGTCACAGTCGATTCTCATCTCGGGCGAGTCGGGCGCCGGCAAGACCGAGGCGATGAAGATTGCCCTCTCGTACATCGGCGAGGTGCGCGCGCGCCTCAGACAGCCACCTCGTCTCACGGGCCCGCCGCCCAAGCCGCACTACCAACCTGCCTGGCGCTCCGGCGGCAGGTGTCTGCCAAGAAGGGCCAGCGAGTCTCGGACGAGGCGCGCCGCGCGGCTAGTTGTCTAGACCGAGGCCCCGCCGTAGGACAGGGGCGGCGTCACCCGCAGCGGGAGCGGACGCGCGGCCGAGCTTTGCACGAACGCCACAGGTTGCGTCGCGGCTGATGCAGACCAACCCCATCATGGAGGCGCTCGGCAACGCCAAGACGGTGCGCAACAACAACTCGTCCCGCTTCGGTGCGTGGCGCCGGCTCGATCGCGGCCTCAGCCGCCAGGCTGCGCCTCACGCCTCCCCTCCGTGCGGTCAGGCAAGCACTTTGACGTGCAGTTTTCGGCGAATGGCGTCATCATTGGCGCCCGAAGCCCCATGCCGCAGCCCGGCCACGGCCTCGACCTGAGCTCATGGCCCGCACCGCCTCTGCAGGCGCCTTCACGTCGGCCTACCTGCTCGAGAAGCCGCGTATCACCGTCCACCTCGAGGGCGAGCGCAGCCCCCATTCTCCGGCACTATCTCCTCCGGAGGCCGCCCCCGCTCACGCCTCTCTCGACGCGCCTGCCAGGCGAGCGAAACTACCACGTCTTCTACATGCTCGCCAAGGCGCCCGCGGCGGTGCGCGAGTCGCTCGGGCTGACAAAGTGGCAGGACTACAAGATCTGCAACCAGAAGGGCACCGTCGCGGAGGTGACGACTTGGAACGACGCGGCTGAGTTCGAGGACATGCACGAGGCGCTGCTCAAGGTTGGCTTCACCGAGGAGGCACGGCTCGAGCTGTACAAGATGCTCGTCTTCGTGCTGCAGCTGGGCAACCTCGACTTCAAGCCCGGCAAGGAGGGCTCCGAGGCCAAGGACCCCAAGCAAGTCGAGGCTTGCGCCGCGCTGCTGCAGGCGGCTCGCCCCGCCTCTACACCCGCCCGCCGGCGCATCCCTCTCCGCCCCCAATCCCTGTAAGCCCCACCCCTTCGCTCCTCCCCCAGGTGACTCCGCAGCAGCTGATGGACGCCATCTCGTACCGCACCATGGGCGGCGGCAAGCTCTCCACCTACAAGGTGCCGCTCGAGCCGCGCGCCGCGACAGCGGCGCGCAACTCGCTGTGCGCGCACATTTACTGCCTGGTCTTCGACTGCGTCGTCTCGGTCATCAACGACTACATCAGCGTCTACAACGCGGCGCACTGCGTCGGGCTGCTCGACATCTTTGGGTTCGAGAACTTCAAGACCAACTCGTTCCCCCAGCTGTGCATCAACTTTACCAACGAGTCGCTGCACAACCTCTTCATCGAGCACGTCTTCAAGCTCGAGCAGGAGGTGTACGTCAAGGAGGAGGTCGAGTGGAACTTCGTCTCGTACGAGGACAACCAGCACATCATCGACCTCATCGCCAAGCGGCCGATCTGCGTCCTCGGCCTCCTCGACGAGGGCTGCGCCACCGGCTCCGGCAAGGACTCGACCGTGCTCGACAACATGCACGCCACCTTCGCGCAGCCAAAGTACAAGGCCTACACCAAGCCGAAAAAGTCATCGGCGCGCGACCCGCCGCTCCGTGCCGCCGCCCGCGGCCGCGGCCGCGCTCGAGCCCACCCCCGAACCCCGCCGCCCGCAGGACCGCACCTTTGTGCTCTCGCACTACGCCGGCGAGGTGGTGTACACCATCGAGGGGTGGGTCGAGAAGAACAAGGACGAGCTCTCGCCGGACGTGCTGATGCTGCTCGAGGTGCACTCGCAGTTCGAGCGGCTGAGCGAGCTCGCGCGGGCCGACACGCAGAAGAAGCTCGAGGCGGCCGAGAGCAAGGCCAAGCCGGGCAAGCGCGGCGGCGGCGGGATGAAGAAGAAGACCGTCGCCAAGACCTTCTCGGAGCAGCTGGCGACGCTGATGGAGAAGCTACGCGCGACGGAGCACCACTACATCCGCTGCCTCAAGCCGAACCAGACGCTGCAGGCGGGCGACTGGGACAACGACTTTATGTTCAAGCAGCTCGCCTACTCGGGCACGCTCGAGGTGACGCAGATCCGCAAGGCGGGCCTCAACGTCCGCCGCCCGCTCAAGCACTTTTACCAGTACTACAAGATTTGCGCAGACGACCCCTCGGCGCTGCGCGCGGGGACGGTGACGAAGCGGACCGAGCTGCTGCTCAAGCAGCTGGGCGTCGACGAGAACAAGTACCGCGTGGGCAAGACGCTCCTCTTCCTCCTCAACTTCGAGATCATGGAGCAGCTCGACGCCATCCGGACGGAGCGCGTCGCCGAGTACGTCATCATCCTGCAGTCCTACATGCGGATGCTGAAGCCGCTCCTGCATTACAAGCGCGCCAAGCGGTGCATCCTGCGGCTACAGGGCTTCTGCAAGTCGTGGGAGATCCGGCGCGCGTACTGCGAGGTCCGCGCCGCGGCCAAGCTGCTCGAGCGGTGGACCCGGACCTACCTGGCGCACCAGAAGCTGCTCGACATGCGGGAGAGCGACGACCCGGCGCTGACGCCCGACAAGAAGCGGGAGGCGCTGCTCAAGATCCTCTACCCCGCCAAGCACGGCCGAGGCCGCATCGGCCTCTCGGGCAAGCGCCGGCCGCTGCGGATCCAGCCGACGCGCACCGTCGGCGACGACGCCGACGAGGACGAGTTCGTCGAGATGCCTCGCTTTGAGGTTGCGTACGAGGGGTGGCTCGTGTGCAAGGTAGGCCAGATGGGCAAGTACGAGAAGCGGTGCGGCACAGCGCGCGCGCCGCAAGCGCGCAGCCCCATAGCTCCTCACCTCGCCCTTCGGCCCGCTCGGCAGGTACGTCTCGCTGAAGCAGGGGACCCTCTCGCTGTACGTCGACCATGAGGCGCTGCAGGTCTCGCGCCCCACGGCCCGCGGCCGCCCGCTCGCCCCCTCCTCACCGCTCCGCCCGGCAGGTGGTGCACTCGCTCAACATGGCCTCATGCGCCGTCAGCCTCAAGTCGGCAGCGATCGAGGTGCGGCGCGCCGACGGCGCCGGCCTCTTTTTGCAGAAAAGGCGGCGGTTTAAGGCCTCGCGCTGGGGCGGCGGCGACGTCGTCGTGTTTCAGCGGGATTCGCTCGCCCCCGAGGCGAGCGAGGCGTGGGCGGAGAAGCTGCAGGCTTCGGCGGGCGAGGCGCGCGCCGTCGACGGGTACAAGATGCAGGTGAGCCTCGACGGTGACCAGGACGAGAAGCCGGTCGACCAAAAGGTGGCGGCGGTGATCAAGGAAGGGTACCTGCGCAAGAAGAAGGAGGGCACCTTTGGCAAGTGGGAGCGCCGCTTCTTCGTGCTCTACAACGACGGCAAGCTGCGGTACTACGAGTCCAAGGCCAAGGCCGAGGAGAAGGGTGCGGTCGACCTGCGCTGGTTCGCCCTCAAGGAGGTGGAGGAGGAGATGGAGGTTGCCGAGGACGACACCGGCGAGTCGGCGGGGCTGCGGGTGCAGGGCCAGCTGTTCAAGGTGGTCAAGGGGAAGCAGTTCTCGCTCATCTCGGGCAAGCACGCCCTCTACATGGCGTCGCCAGAGCGCGAGCTGTGCGACGAGTGGATCGCGACGCTGCAGCAGACGCTGGCGCTCCTCTACCAAAAGTCGCCCTTCTTCAATCCGGAGGTGCTTCGCGTGTACATGATGGACGGCTCCTTCACGAGCATCCCGCTGACCGAGAACACGCACGGCCGCGACGTGGCCCGCTTCATGTGTAAGAAGCACGGGCTCAACAACGAGACCGAGTGGGGGCTGCTCGAGCTCTGGGACCACCCCGGTATCGCGGGCAACATGACCGAGCGCAAGCTGCCGGGCGACGAGCTGCTGCTCGACCAGACGCTCGTCAACTGGGAGCGGGCGGCGCGCATACGCTTCGGCATCATCTCGCAGGTGCCGGCCAGCTCCTTCCGGCTGGTGATGCGCAAGGTCACCTCGCTGCTGCCGCAAGCGCGCACCAAGAAGGAGCAGCAGCTCGAGTTTTGCCAGGCGATGTCGGACTTGCGCGAGGGGCGCTTCACCTCGCCCGACAATAGCGAGATCTTCGACCTCGCCGCGCTCGCCATCTTCAAGGACCTCAAGGAGGGCATGACGGAGGAGGAGCAGGACGACGACCTCGTGCTAGAGGCGTGGCGTCGGAGCGACCCGCCCCGCCCTCGCACCACATTGCGCTCACGCGGCTGGCCTCGCGCGCGCGCGCTCTGTAGGAGGGGCAGCTGACGGACCAGCTGCACAACTACCTGCCGTCGCACATGTTCCGCGCGCTCGCCAACAAGCGGCGCGGGCTGCAGGACTCGATGGTGGAGGAGTGGGATCGGAAGGTCGTGCGCGCCTTCAACGAGCTCACCCGCGCCGAGCTCATCGAGACGGAGAGCATGTCCGAGGCGTGCAGTCCCTAGCCGCGAACGCCGAGATGTTGCTCGCACGAAGAGCCGCGGAGCCTTGGGGTCGGGGGGGGGGGGGGGGGGAAGTTGGGGTCGGTGCTAGAGGGAGGCGGTGCCGCGCCTTAGGCGGGGAGTGCACACCTGTAGGTGCGGCGCATCGTCCAGTCCTTTCGGATGGAGACCGAGCTCAATGCCGTTGCCGCCACGCGCATGTGCATTGAGCGGGTGCGACTGGCGCCGCTCTGCTTCTCGGCGCAGTACATCGCCGAGATGTGGTCCGTCGACAAGATCCTCAAGGTGCGACGCGGTCGGTGGCGGCGGGGAGAGACGGGGAGTGGGGGTGTTGGGAGCGCTGCGCGGCGTCTCCTCTCACACGGCGCCGCCCCACACACCAACACCCACAGGTGCTGGTCGTGATCAACGCTGGGGGGCTGCACGTCTACCGGCTTGGGCCGTCGCCGGTGCTGATCTCGACCTTCAACTTCGACACGCTCGTCTCGTGGCAGTCGATGAACGACATGCTTATCATCAACATCATCTATGCCACCAAGCACGACCACAACAAACGGCGAGCGAGCGCCCCCTTGCAGTTTGCCCTGCCCGCTCGCCATCTCGATCCCACCCCCCGGCCCCCATCATGCGCCATCCGCTCACACGCCGCCCCTTCCGCCTGCAGGCGAGAGAAGCTGCGCTTCCTCACGCGCGAGGCGATCCACATGCGCAATATCCTCACAAAGTACGCTGAGGTTGTGCTCGCCAATCTGGTCAAACGCATGCGAGAGCGCGACGCGATGCAGCGGGAGGATGACAATTGAGAGAGGAGAGCCGTGTGTGCATACTAAGGTAAGGTAAGGTAAACTTCTCCACACACACGAGGTGGTGGGGCAAGGGGGGGCAACCCTCGCGTCTCCACGTCTGACGACAGGAGCCCCACGGCATTCAAAGTGCAAGGCCCAGTGCGCGTGGGTGAGCGGTGTGTGTGTGTGTGTGTGTGTGTGTGTGTGTGTGTGTGTGTGTGTGTGTGTGTGTGTGTGTGTGTGTGTGTGTGTGTGTGTGTGTGTCTCACGTCACTGCATCCTCCGCCGGTTCCTCCCGTCGCCTCTTCTTTGTTCGAATGTTTTTCAATCCATCCTTCACGAAGCCCTCCCATGTAGCTAGCGTTCTTGGCGAATGTCTCGAAATGGCCAGCAGGCGCTGTCTGCTCGCGGTCTGTGCGGGCCGCTCGTCCTCCTCGCCCTTCTTTCGTCCTCCCGTCCCTCCCCTCCACCATGGCCTTCTCGGCACTTCTTTCTCCATCCGCCTCGCCCTGCCTTTTCGCATCGTGCCGTTCGCCCTCCATTCGGTGACCTCCATGGCTGTCCGCCCCTTTTTGGGTGGCGCTCTCGATACGGTTGCGTCAACCTCGACGTCGCTGTCGCCCTCCCCGTCCCCGCCGGCGTCCGTGCCTCGGTTCGCGTCATCGGTAGCGTCTCCGTTGTTCCCTCGTGCCCCGCCGTCGCCCTCTCTGCTCGGGCCGTTAGCGATTTCGCTCCTCCTGCGTGTCGCCCCTCCGTCCCCTCCCCTTTCTTCGTCGTCATTGTCGCTGTCGCGAAAGCCCTCCGGTCCCTCGATTCCCTCGCCTATCCCCTCCGCTGCGTCGTCCCAGTTTATATCCTCATCCTCTGCGCACGTCGCGTTGGCTTCCTCTCTCCCCCTTTCCTCCCTGCCCCTCTCGCTGTCTGGTGTTAATGGACCCCCTTCCTCTCCCTCGCCACCGTCACCGTCTCCATCCCCGTCGCTACCGCCCTCCATGCCCGCCGCCCTTTGTTTCACACTCGTCTCTGCCATGTCCGCCGTCGCCGCCGTCCTGTCTGCTGCGCTCTGTGCTCCGTGGTACAGTCGCTTATTGTTGCTCAGGATTAGCTCACGCACCAGGACAGACTCCTGCTCGTTATTTTGGCTTGCCGATATGCATCCAAAGTTCCACGCTAGCTCCTCCTTCGTCACGTCTATCTTTTTGCAGTATCTCGCGAATGCCGTCCGCGCTTGCTGGGGTGTTATTGCGTTCGTGCATACTGATGTACCGCGATCACCGTACCGCGTAGCTGGGATATTTTCAAAAAAAGGCAGTGGGAGGGCGGGAAAGGCCTCCTCGCGGGCGCCGGACAGGGTCCACACCCCGTACATAAAGATGTGTACGGGCCCCCGCACGGAGGATGGGAAGCCCCCTTGAGAGAGTCTCACAAACACTTGTCTTCGTCTATTCGGAGTTCGGGCGGACAATGCAACTCGGCCTCATGATCGTCGCCGCGATTGTTGAGATTGGACTCGGTGCGGAGACCCGAAATAGAGGCTGGGCGCCCGTATTCGGCAACGCTTGACAGCGAGGCGCCGCTGCCCGACTGCGCCAACGCGCCTAGTGCGATGCCGCTCGAACACGTCCGGCGGAACGCCGCGTCCATCGCGCTGCCCATCGAGCTGCCGATGCTGTGGCTCTGCTTGAAGCCCGCCCCCAGCATGCAAGCCTGGCTCCCAAACTCCCCGCCTCGCTGCGTGAGCGTCGTCGACCAGGAGGTGTTCACCAAGGAGCTGGAGCTGCCGCCAACGCCCTTACCCACCTCGCCGAGGCCGCGTCCGCTCGCCTGGCCTCGACGCCACGCGCCGCCGGCGCAAATCAGACCCACCAGCCAGCCCGCGAGGAAAGTGGTCGCGATCACGCCCGCGGGGGAAGGGCCGGGCACGTGAGCGATGTACTTGCCGATCTCATACCTCTCGCCCGACGCGTCGCGCTCCCACCACCCCTCCGCCCCGCAGCCCGCCCCGCGGCAGTCGCCCTCGACGTATAGTCGAGCACGCGCCGCCGCCATCCCGCCGCCCTCGGACGCGCGCCGCCGGGTCACCGCGCCGAGGGCGGCCAGAGGCCCCTTTGGTCGTAGCAGCGGGTCGCACCAAAGCGAGACGTCTCCGCTCTCGACCACCCACCGCTCCTCGAGGCCCCAGTACCGAAAGTCGTCCGCGCGCAGCGTGAAGGAGACCTCGACGCTCGAGCCTGCCGGCAGCAGCACGCGGCGGAAAGCCTTGAGCTGCTGCGCCTCCGGCACGACCCGCCGGAAGTCGGCGGCGGCAAAGAGAAGCACCGTGTGGTTGAGCGCGAGTGAGGAAGGGTTCGAGACAGCCACCGACGCGTTGACCGCGCCGGTTCGCGGGAGGGCGCCCGAGGAGAGGAGGAGGGGGCCGTACTGCAGCCGCGAGTAGGAGAGGCCTACGAGCCGAAGACACCAACCTCAGGGGGCGGGAAGAGAGGGAGCCGGGTCCTGTGCAGCGTCTTCAGAGGACCGCGTGGATACGAGGGGGCTGCGGACACAGTGAATGCAGCGGAAGACGGCCGAATACGGCGGAGTCCGTGTCCTCTCGCTGGAAGACGGGAATGCGTGTTCCGCTTCTAGGGCGCGAGATATGGGGAGATATGGGGAGATCTTCCGCTTCTAGGGCGAGAGAGGCCGTGCCCAAAGGGCCACGCGACGCCACAAGTGCGCGAGCCGTCGCACTGCTGCGTGACGGCGTGCCTGCGCCCACGGCGGGGCCGCGTGACGAGACGCCGTTCACAGCGCGCCGGCCACCGCTGCGTGGGGTGGGGTGCCAGTGCGGGTAGAGGAGAGAGGAGGCGGCGGTTGGCCACGAGATTGGAAGCCGGCCTGACGGCTCGAAGCGGCCAACCAGCGCGTCGGCGAGCGCGGCGCCGCCGTGCGGGCCCGGCAGGAAGGACTGGAGGACCGCGTTGACCTGCGGCAGCGCCTCGACGCCTCTCTCGATCAAAGATCTCATCCCACACACCTCTCGCTCTCCGCTCTCTCTTGACCTGCGGCAGCGCCTCGACGCCGTGCAAGAGGCGCGGCCGGCCGGTGACCAGCACGAGCGCGATGGGTTTGCCGGCGGAGGCGAGGACGCGCACGAGGTCGATCTGACCTAATGAAGGGCGAATTAAGGGTAAATTAAGGGTTGATTCAGGGCGCGCACGAGGTCGAGCTGACCGGCGTCGAGCGAGAGGTCGTCCAGGTCGCCTGGCTTCTCTGTGTGCGGGTCCTCGCCCAAGCAAGCGACCACGACGTCGGCGGCCGCCGCAGCAGCGATTAGCTCGGCCGACGAGTTGGTCTGCGCGCACGACGACCGAACGGCAAAGGCGGTGCCGGGGAGCGAGCAGCCGGGGAGGTGGTCCACCTCCCAGCCGTCGACAGCGCGCAGAGCCTGGGAGGACGGGGGGGAGGCAGCGGTGGGGAAGAGGCGGCGAGGAGGGAGTTGGCAGTGGGGAGAGGCCAAGGAGGGGAGGTATGAGGAGATATGGGAGATTTGACCTCGAGCAGCGTCGGCGTGGCCGCGCCCGGCCGGCTGCCCCGGATCTCGTCGTCGGCGAGCGTTCCTTGCCAGTGCGCCGTCCAGCCGCCAGAGAGGCGGCCCAGCGAGTCGGCAGCGGGGCCTGTTCACAGCCGCAGGCGTGAAGAGAGGCTGGCGCGGAGAGGGTGCCCAGCGAGAGGCGGCAGCAGGGCCCGTCACGAGGACGCGGCTATATCTCGCCTATATCTCGCCTTTATCTCGCCTGTATCTCGCCTATATCTCGGCTATCTCTCGCCCGTCACGAGGACGCGGCCGACGGAGCCTCCCTCGCCCGAGGGGCGGAGGGGGAGGAGCAGCGGCGGCCTGTACAACAATGACAACAACGACCATGATGACGATGCTGCCGGCGGTGATGATGATGATGAATACGATGAGGGAGGAGGATCATTACTGAGCGGGGCGGAGGGGGGGAGCGGCAGCCTCTCGTCGTCGTCGGTGCCATCGCCGCCGACGCCGCGCGAGGTGCGCCATGCGGCCATCCGCGCGCCTACAGGACGGTTCAGGGAAGGGTCAGGGACAGCCCTGACGCCGCGCGAACTCATGCGGCCATCCGCGCGCCTACAGGACGGTTCAGGGAAGGGTCAGGGACAGCCCTGACGCCGCGCGAGCTCATGCGGCCATCCGCGCGCCTACAGGACGGTTCAGGGAAGGGTCAGGGACAGCCCTGACGCCGCGCGAGCTCATGCGGCCATCCGCGCGCCGCAGCAGCAGGCGAAGCCCGTGGTGCCGTCGTCGGCAGCGACGTCGCCTTGGCCCGGGTCTGTAGGCGGGCACCGCCACCGCTCCGTCCAGCCGCACCCGCCCCCCCCCTCGCCGAGGTACGCGTCGCACTCCTCCACACCGACCGCCGCGCCGCCTTCGGCCTCGCCTGTGCCGTTGGAGCCACCGGGGCTCGACGGTGGCGGCGCCGGCTCTGGCGAGAGTGGCGGCAGCGGCTGCTGCTGCGGGGGCCCAGCACACGGCGGCGCATTCTTGAGCAGCGTGACGGTGGCGCGCGCAGCCTCGTGGGCAAGTGCGGCGTCCGAGGCGCTGCCCACGCTCTCGACGAGCCGCACCGTCGCCTCGCTGTGCGACCACGGGGCGGGGCGGACGGCGGGGGGCGGCGGGAGCAGGCCGAGCCACTCCTAGAGACAGCGCCCGCAGCAACTCGCTAACTAGTGGATTAGTTGATCGACTCATTCATTCCGAGCCACTCCTTGAGACGGAGCACACGCAGCGCCGACACGTCGAGCCGCGCCTCGTCGATTGCGAATTAAGGGTGAATTAAGGGTTTGATGAAGGGTGAATTAAGGGTCGACTCGCGCCTCGTCGATTGCTCCGCTCGCGTGCAGCCGCTCCATCAGCACGGAGAAGGACTCGTCGGTGGGCACCTGTGGTCATTGCCATCGCAGTGTGAGCGGGTCAACTGGCGAGGAGGAGAGAAGGACTCGTCGGTGGGCACCATCGACATGTCGAGCGAGCTCGAGCCGCCGATGGCGAGAAGCACCGCCTCCTCCGGCGAGCGCGCCACGCGGTGGAAGTCGTGCAGGTTACCGACCTCGTGCCAGTCCGTCACCAGCAGCCCTTCGAAGCCCAACCGCTCGCGCAGCAGCCCCTGCAGCAGCGCCGCCGAGCCAACCACGGGCTCGCCGTTCACCTCCTGGTAGCTCTCCATCGCGCTCTGTACGCCGGCGTCCACCGCGGCCTGGAAGGGCGGCAGGTAGGTCTGCTCCAGCTCGCGCCGAGACAGCCACGCGCCCTCGCGGTCGTGCCCGTTCCGCGGCGCCGAGTAGCCCACAAAGTGCTTCATGCACGCCGCCGCACGCGCCGGGATCTCGCCCTCGCCGCCGCGCCGCTGCATCCCCTCCACCACCGCCGCGCCCATCCTCGCGACCAGCAGCGGGTCCTCGCCAAACGTCTCGTACACGCGCGGCCAGAGCGGGTGCGTCGCGACGCCGAGGATGGGGGCAAACATCCACGGCGTCGCCGCGGCGCGGCTGTCCTTGCCGGTGAGCCAGCCGGAGGCGGCGGCGAGCGACTCGTCGAAGGACGCGGCGAGGCCGAGCTGCTGCGGCAGCAGGGTTGCGCCGCGGCAGTACGACGCGCCGTGGACCGAGTCGATGCCGTAGATGAGAGGAGGCAGACCCTCGTCGGCGGCGGCCGCCTGGACGTGCTCGACAGAGGCGCGCCACTCCGAGGCGTTCCAGCCCGACGACCCGCATCGCGGATCGGTGCCGGAGAAGGGAGAGTTGAGCAGCGACCCCAGCCGGTGGACGCGAAGCTGCCTGCGCAGCTTCGCGTCGTCGATGCGCAGCGGACAGCCGTCTGCGAGCACCATGGAGATATCCAACTGCGTCATTTGGCCGATCTTATCGGCGGCGCTCATGCGTGTGAGCCAGAGCGTAGCGGCGGCCATTCGTGAGCGAATTGTGCGGTCGAGTAAATTGTAAAGGACAGTCGCGAGGCGTGGAGGTAGCCGGGCACCGCGCACGCCCCCCTTCCCTCTGCGGCGGAGACGCGAGCGCGATCAAAGCACGCTCACCGCAAATCGTAATTTTCTTTTTTTACTACACTTTCTTTTTTAAAGGTTCTCTCGCCTCCCTCGCCTTCTCTAACTGAGAAACTGCGGAGAGAGATAGGAAGTGGTAGACGCCCGAGGGTGGGCGACGGCTAACATTGTGTGGTGGCGGCGTACCGTCCTCCCATCCCTCCCTTGGGTTTCTGTTTTCTTTCTTTCTTTCTTCTCTAACGGAAACGTTGATGCCTTTGCATTTTACCATCCTATTCAGGTCTAATCTCGGCGTCAGGCAGGGGGCATCCCCACTGCCTTCCAGCGGGCAGAGGGCATCCGCTGCACTGAAAGCCCGCGAGCGGTCGCTCCGATGACCTTTCCGCGCACGTGGTCGTGCCAAAAGTTCATTGACCTCGCCGCGCGTGTCTGCGAGCCAGACATCCGTATCTGGCGATCGAGGGTAGATTCCATCGGCCAGGTATTGTAATCTGCGCGGCCCGCTAAGCGCATTGACCACTGTTGACCGCCGCGCGATGCGCCTCAGGCCCTCTGCGTCCTCTGCTGCTGCGGCCCGTATAGACGGGCTGACACAGACGAACGCTGGCAACTGGAGCAGCGTCTGGAGCGGCTGGACCAGCATATCGCGCTCCTCGACTCACGCCTGAAGCCAGTGCTGAGTCTCGCCGAAATGGGCTCGCCAGAGTTCCTCATTGCCGAGTGGAACCGCGCCGTGGTGGCGCTTGGCCAACACGGGCGCAGGATCGGCTCCGGGTTTGCGCTTCTCACCTCCTTTGGGATCCGCCTCGTCACCGCCTTCCACGCTCGAGTCGATCGCTGCTGTGCCCGCCAGCGGTGCGCCGGCGCCTTGCGCGGCACCGCTTGTGGTGGCCACGCTCTCCCCGCCCGACCTGCCGACTTGCGGCGCCATCGGCCGCTTTCTCAGCGCGGCGTCGGGCCCGCAGCTTGTGGCGTTGGTGTGCGGTCTGCCCGATGACGACGCGCAATCGCTCCTGCCCATGTGCAAGGCGCTGGGCGCGACTCACCTGCACCTTCGCTCGGTCACAGGAAGGAGGTGAGAAGTAGCCCCCACTCTCGCCCTGCCTGTTTGAGTCCATACATGTCCTGCTCGACTGCGGTTGGGATGCGGTCTCTGGGCCGCTTATCGACGTCGGCGTTGGCGCCACGATCACGCACGATAGCTGGCCGCTCCGCGCGCGGGTCCTTGCGCACTCGCCCTCACCGCACATGCGCACCGCACTCTCTGCGCATGAGCCGCACCTCGACCTCGCGCTGCTCAAGTTGATTGGGCCATTGCCAGACGACGACGAGGGCGACGACCTGAACCGGCCGCTACCCTACTTGGAGGCTAGCGACGACGTGCGGGTCGGCGACAACGTCGTGATCCTCGGCTATGGGATGCAAAGCGCCTCCCAGGTGCAAAACACCATGCGCGGCTCGGTTGCGTGCATCGAAAGAGTGGACGAGCGGTTCGGATGCCGCGTGATCGACATCCAGGGCGACATGCTGTCCGGCCACTCGGGTGGGCCCGTCGTCTCGCTGCGCACGCGAAGGGTCATCGGCGTCTGTCTCTGCTCGCAGAGCGAGCAGCTCGACATTTTCGTCGTCGAGGACAACGGCACCGTGCCGGCGCAGGACCACCATGGGCGTCCCATGCGGGGCAGAAACTCGGTCGGCGGCCTTCACGTGGCAATGCCCATCGCCGAGCTCTCCTCACTTCGCTGAGGGGCTCCTTCGTCTCACACATTACCTGGCGCACGTTCTTATTGCGCCTTGAAGACGCATGGCCTTCCTGGCGTTGGCAACTCTTTTGCATAGCACTGGCCAGATTGGCCCTGCGCCCCTGCGGCATCGGTGACAGGTCGCAGGCTCATCTATTGTGCGGTGTGTATGTGTGGTATGCGCGCGCAGACTGTCGAATGGAGGGGCGGAGAAAGTTGGTCAGTGCTCTGTCTGTGTGCTATCCTTTCTCTAGCTCTAGGGTGATGGGTGTGGCCCCCGGGTGTCGGGGGGGCCCCCGCGGCGCCCGGCGTGAGCGGTGTCGTCGACGTCGTCGCGTGCGTGTCGCGTGTCGAGTGTGTGTGATGGGAGCTGATGCCCCCCTGTGATGAGAGAGTAGCCTGCATTGTGTGGAGCTCGGTGCGGTGAAGTGTGATGCTGTCTCGAACTCTCACCTCTCACGAAAATGTGCATTGTGAATGGCAGGATACAACGATTTCGAAACTGGCACAGCTCACAGCCTCGGGAAGGTCCGCGCGAGGTAGCCCACCGCCCAATCCTTGGTCGCCTCGTAGGTGCTGAACTGGATTGCGCCCGACGCAAGCGCCCTCGCAACCTTTGGCGCGACTCCCGCCCAGAGCGCGCCCGCCCCCTCCTCCGCGGCCACGCGGCGCAGCGTGGCGGCGACGCCCGTCGCATCGGACGTCATGATCCGCACGCGCGCCACGTCGAGGGGCGTCGCCAGCGCCTGGGCGGTCGCGGCGGCGGCGGCGCCTCCGACAGCGGCCTCGACGGGCGACAGGCCCGAGCGGCCGCGCCGCGCTGCGTAGGACGCCTTGAGCTGCTCGTACAGCAAGAACTTGACCACGTCCACCGGCGTGGAGTACGCATAGTTCGGCCCCGCGGAGGAGTAGAAGCCCGCGACGCCCTCCGCCCGCCAAATTTCGACGGCAGCGCCCGCCGTGTCGGACGCGACGCCGGCCTGTCGCCGCACCTTGAGGACCTCGGACGGGTTCTTGATGCCCCAGTAGGCGACGTTGGCGCACGCCACAGCGAGGACGGTCGTCTCCGCCTTGCCTAGCTGCAGACCGGCAACCGCCCGCTTTGCGCCATCCTTGACGGCGAAGAAAGCCGACGCCGCCGGCGCGCCCGATATCAGCGCCGGCGCGAGGCCGTCGTACGGCGACTTGAAGAGCTCGCCCAGCACTGCGCGCCGGCCGCCGCCTGTCCATCCGGCGGCGACCGGCGCCTGCAGCCGAGCCTTGGCCGTGTCGAGAGGATGCAGCGCGAGCTCCTTAACGGTCTTCTGCACTGCACCGGCGAGCAGGCCGGACCAAAACTCGGCGGCCGCGCTCGGCGGGACCGCTGAAGCAGCCACTGTCACCGCCGAAGCCTGTGGCGCCGCGATCGCGAGCGCACGCGGCGCGCCTGCCACGAGAGGGACGGCCGCCAGCACGGCGCGTCGCCGTGGCAATAGGCCGCTCTCAAGGGCTCTGACACCGCCGGCCACCTGCCTGCAGCCACACACGCCAGCTAGCAACGTGAGAGCGAGCGAGCAGCGCAACATACACACAACTCAAGCATGTGAAGGTAGTCCCCCCCCATCCCCAGGGCCTCCAGGGCTCGCACCTCAACCTCTCACAGGCCAGCGCACAGCGCCATAGGACGTATTTTCTTCTCAATAACAAGGCTGTGAACATTTCGGGCCCGGGGTTTATGTGAACACAGACGTCCCTGGGACCCCGTGACGCCGTGTTGCATGTCACTGTCATCACTGTGCGATTTCGGGGCCCGGGGTTGTGCGTTTACGTGAACACAGACCATAGCGCCATACGACGTATTTTCTTCTCATAACAAGGCTGTGAAGTGTGTGCATGTGCATGCACGTGTAAGAGAGAGTTTTTAGAATTGAGCTCAAAGTATTCTCCTTCCAACCCAGGCGGGGCGGGGGGGGCGGCGCGCGGGGGGGTGCGGAGTGCGGTGCGGTGCGGGTGTGTGCGTGTCATGTGGCTGCAGCAAGTGACCAGGCGGGCGCTGTCGCACAGGTTTTGCAAGCCCGCACCGCCTCCGAGGACCCGGCTAACCCCGACCGTGCCTTCACCCGCCAGCCGGAGCAGTCCCCGCAAACCACCTCGCCGCACAGCCGGCAGTGGTGCTTTCGTCGGAGCAGCCCAAACTTCTTCTGGCATATGTTGCACCCGCGGCGCTCGTTGTTCGGCACCCACCCCGGCTCTTCACTCGTCAGCGCCAGCGCCGGTTCGGGGGGCGCTATTGTGCGCCGGTCGGCCACCTCTGGGGCCGGGTCCGGCTCAGAAACGCTGCCGTATATGCCCTTCGCCGAGAAGGCGAGATCGACCAGCGCCGACCAGCGCATCTTCGTGAGCCAACCGCTGCCCCTGGCACCTTCTTCTGCAGTGACCTCACCACTAGCGCGCTCGGGTGCGGGTAGATCGGCGGGGGGAGGAGTCCTGGCTCGCTCGACGGCTTCCTCCGTTTTGTCGGGGGCGGCTGCATCGGTGGTGGGTGCAGGCGAGGAGGCGGTCAACTCGGCGGAGCCCTCCCTCTGAACTCGCGCCCGCAACTTTCCGGCAAGCGCCTCCACCGGCATCTCCTCCCAACGGCCCGACGACGAGAGTTTTTGGAACGCGAGCGACAGCTCGGCGGCGAGTGAGTCACGGCTGCGCCGCGCCAGGTGGAGCTTCACGTAGAATATGCTGGCTACCAGGGCAATCACGGGGATCCCTGGCAGAAGGTCGATGGCGCTGCCCGTTGACGAGCATTCGCACGCGATTGCCAGAGATGCTAGGAAGACGGTTCCATCCTTGCAGGTGTCTATCGCGTTGGTTACGCGGGAGGCGTTGATGACGTACCACAGCTTGGCCCGTGGCGTGGTCATCCAACAGGTCATCTGCATGTAGAGGATCGAGCTAGCCGCAAGCGTGAAGGACGACATGGCGACGCTCAGCATAGTGGCGATGATGGACGTCACGTCGTCGAGACCAATGCTGCCAGCCCCCTCCAAACTGTCTCGAATCGTCGTCAAGGTTTCGGCCTCCTCGTACGCAGGCGTGAACACCACGGACAGAACCAAGGCCGCGATCACACCAGAGTTCATGAGCTCGTCCTGCGTGGACCCGATCAGCTCCTGTGCCGCTTCAATGTCATCCTCGTCGAGGTTGCCGTCACCTTCCTGATTGATGCTCGCAAGCGTCAGCAGCCTTGAGGCGTTGAGGCAGCCGCCGAGGTGAGCTATCGGGTCCTTGGCTCCGACCACGCCAACGAGCTCCAACCGAGCAGCCTTGGCCATCTCCGGGATGGTCGCAGGCCTCACCATCTGGGCCCCGCCGCTGGCAGCCCGGCGAAGGTGGCTCATTGCGCCACACTTGAAGAGGAGTAGCGTACACCGTGGCACGGCGCAGGCCAGGTGTCAGTGGGCGCGGCGCCGTCTCCTCCGCGAGTCGCTCCTCCCCGACTCCCCGAAGGACGTATGATGCGGAAGGTATATGTCGGGCGGAAAGGAGTTCATTGTAAAACTCGCTTTGTTTTCGATGAGGTTTAGGTATGTTGTTTGCAAATCAAGACACAGAGCTCACACTCTCTCGCTGATATGCAAGATGGCGGAGGCAGGAGGGGGGAGCTCGCTCGCTCAGCGCGCCGGCGACGCAATGAAATTTCTTCCTATGAAAAATGAGGGATGTTCAGTTCGCTGCGCAGTGAGTCCGCAGACTTAAGCCATGATGCGGCTCTCGAGAGCACACACGGTACTAATAGTGTAATTAATAGCAAATAGGACGAGAAATAAATGTGAAAAACGCCGGAATTCGGGCGAGTACTCTCGCTCGGCACACGAGCTACTTGGAGCACTCGGAGTGCAGTTATCAACCGCACATCCAGGGCCAGGGAGCTCAGAAGCGCACCCAGCGCGCAGCGGGCCGGATGATTGGCATCGGGTTTACGGGCTACCGCGCGCAGATACAACGCGATCCTGCGCGGCCTGGGCGGGAAGGCTCCCTTTACGGCCCGTCTCCATATGCACGCGGCCTGGAGGTTGCCCGCCTGGTGTGCTTCTCCTTTCGCCATCGGAACGCTCCTGCCGAGCCTCCTCTGCGACGCGTGCCGGTTCCGGGAATGCAAGCGGCAGTGACCTTTCAGCTTTCTCCTGGGGCAACACCACGAAGGCATCACGTCTCCATGCTGCCGTCAAGTTGGAGCCAGTCTGCGGCGACCACAGGCACAGCGCTCAGAAAGGTACATACAACATAGCGAGCTTTTCAGAGTCAAAAGCTTTTGCGCGAAATCCCTGCACTGGTGGATTTTGGTACGCCCCCCCCGCACCCTCTATATACAAGGGCTGCTGCATGTGCGCCCTTTCAGTAGTGCTCCACGCACCGTCGGGTGCGTGGGCGGTAAGGAGGAGCCGCGCGGCGCGCGCGGCCCTTGGTGACTGACAAAAGTTGTTCAGGAATAGACTACAACACTTCGGCGACCGTAAATATATCCGCGCTCTCGGCGCGTATAGCCGCGCGCCGCGTAATCACGTAAAAGCAATCGAGTTGCTTTTACGTGACGTAATATCTCGGAGTTGGAAAGTGTGAATGCGCACCCGCGCATTCGGTCATGGAGAGGCACGCCCCTCGCTGGGCGTCACACTATTCAGAGACTTTTGCGCTCTGTCCATCATCTATAAACGTGATACGTGTAAGAGCCGTCCACTGTTATTCTTCAAAAATTCCCCTAATTCACTGACTCAAGCTTCGAGGAGCTGCTCGACCGCTGCGTCGAGCGAGGCGGAGCGGAGGAGCGCGCGGCGCAGCCCCCCCTCGCTGACGTGCGGAAACATCTCACGCAATGTCTCAAGCGGCTGCTGCGGCTGCTGCGGCTGCTGCGGCTGCTGCAGCTGCTGCGGCTGCTGCGGCTGCTGCGGCTGCTGCGGCTGCTGCGGCTGCTGCGGCTGCTGCGGCTGCTGCGGCTGCTGCGGCTGCTGCGGCTGCTGCGGCTGCTGCGGCTGGCGCTGCAGCAGCGGCGTCGGCGTTGGCGGCTGCCGTTGCGGCTGCTCTCTCGCCCTTCCGTTGCCCCCGCTCGCCGCCGGCCGCGCCGTCCGCTCGAAGTCTCCTCTGGAGCGCACCACCTCGAGATGCAGCCGCGGCAGCCACGAGGGCCACGACCAGAGGTCGGACGAGAAGAGGAGATACGTCTCCTCCTCCTGCTCCTCCGCCTCTGGCTCGCCGCCGTCCGGGGCGGCGGCGCCGCCTCCGCCGCCCCTGCCACCCAACGACCCGCCGCCGCCATCATCGCCCACTCGCGCCGCCGCCTCGACCTCCGCGACGCCGCCGCCAACGCTGCCGCCTCCGCCTGCGCCCGCGTTGGCCTCTCCACCAGCAGCCGAGCCCGCGGCGGCGGCGCGAGGGGCTGGGGCGCGTGCAGGCGAGGCAGGAGGCGGCGGCGGTGGCGTGGCGAGGGAGGCGCGGCAGATGGGGCACGAATGCGACTGCTCGAGCCAGGCACGGAGGCAGCGGTAGTGAAAGTAGTGGCCGCACGGCAGCACCTTTGCCGTGTCGAGGTTCTCGCGGCAGATGGCG